CCAATTACCTGATATTTAGTTATCAGTTTTCTTCAGGGACTGTCTGCTCTTGGTGAACAATTAGATTAGAGGATAGTGATGAAATTCGAGTGGCAGGAAGTAGAAGTTACAGTTCTCAGTTCAGAGTTTCTATTTCAAGGTTGAGTGAGTGGTAAATTTTTACAGAGAGATTCCAGCCTAATAGAGTCAGATTCTATGTCCCTCGGTCCAGGCCATGGCCTTTCACCTGTCTAGAAACCCCAGTGATTCTAACTGTCCTTTCTGTTGGCATGAAAACCATTAATAATTTAAGCCATACCCATTTTAAAAAATAGAAATACTGTATAAGTACAATACTGTAATAATAAATTTAAAAGTCAATCCAGCTGGGCACTGTTCCCAGACTCCCAGCTGAGCAGAAGCACAAATAAGTAAAGAAGAAGAAAAACTGCTATATAATGCAAATGGCTGCAATCTCATTGTTCTCTGCTTCTCTTTCATTGCAAATGTATAACATGGAAGTAACGGTATAGATAAACAGGTTTTGTGGGTTAACCCGGAAACCCAATCACTGTTGATCGCATTATTGCTCTGGGGAGAAAGGTGTATTCGTATTACCAACAGATGGTTTGCTAGCAAATTTCTGAAGCACAATAGATTTGAAAGTTGGGGGCCTCTGGAATTTTAACCTCCAGTTGGTTTTGTTTCCAGAGCTAGTGATAGAAGGAAATTCCAGGCCTCTCAGAATCCCCCCCTTCCGGGCCCAGCCCGGCCATCCAACCACTGCTGAGGCCCCAGGAAGTCAGGCACACTCAGAACATCTTTATCCTTGGCTTCCTACCAGGTCCTTTCCGACGAAAGGGGAGGACTTTCTGTAAGCACTCAGAGTAGCATGGGGTAGTGTTTCCTCCAGGCAGGTTATTGGGGGTTTCTGGGAGGAGTTAGGGTTTGTGTAAATTTCCCCCAACTCGGGAGGCAAGCTCTATATGAACATACTATGTGAATTTCAAACAGCGAACTTGGAAACAAGCCCTGGAATCTGTTGGTTCATGAATTGGGGTTCAGATAGCTTTTGAATGTGATCTTTTATGAGCTGGAGCAGGGCAAAGGGGTGTTCCCTCTACTTACATAGTTCAGTGGCAAATTCTTATTTAGAATAGATGAAGTTGTACAGCAAGTTTTACAGCAAACTAATAAGAATAAGCTTTCTTCGATAGTCTCATTTACTAAATTGTTTCTATATACAGTGTTTTCCACCTAGGGAAAGTTCTTTTTTAATTTTAATTAACTTCTTGGTGTTAGGGTTTTTTCTTCCGGCAATCTTTCCTTTGCATTTGAGCTGGTTCTGTTTCCTGATTTGCAAATAGGATCATGCCTGCATATTGGTGTTAATCATGCAAGCATGAGATCTACTTGGAAATAAAGACTAGAAAAATAAAACACTGATTGGGACTCAGAGGACTTTTGGATGGGGGGATGGGTAAATGCAATAGCATAAGGTAAGGAAAGCAAATATATCTCTGCCATTTTCTCCAGAATGTGCTCATTCTAATCCGAGTCCAATTTTCCTCCTTTCTGTGGCCTGAAGAAATTGAAATGAAGCCAGTTAGAAATCAGCGTACCCGAGGCCTGCCTTAGAGAGGATCAGCCTCCCTGAGAGTCCTGTCGGACAGGAGAGGTTCATCTTATTTGGGTGGTGGCTTAAGCATTTACGCATTTGATCGTGACTTTTGCTGATACTTGGGAGTAAGTGTGCTGGCTTCCAAAGGGATCATTTCAAAGTAGCTAGTTTTGTTTACTAAAATGTGGGAGCTCCTATGACATGCCCCCTCCTTAGGAAATTGAATGTGTGGGTAATGTGCTGTCATGAAGATTTTATAATCTGCAGTATTGGAGAAGTAATAAGATACTGTTGTTGGTTGACCATCTGGTTATACATTCTTAGTGTCACAGTTGCTTTTTAATTTAATATTTTTTTTCCTAGTGAGAAGCAAGAAATAGGCATTTAGAAATTTCAGAGGTGTTTTACAAACAAGGAATTTGTTTAGTGGCTTAGCATGGTTAGATTTTGTTTTTATCTGATGCAAAGTAGGAAATGAAAGGTGGATTTATATATATATATATATATATTTAAGATTTATTTATGCATACAGAACTGGGGTATAGGTCCAAGGTGCAAGGGGTGAGAGGATTCATCAGAGACAGAGTGGGGAGCAGAACAGGCAGATGGACAAAGTACACTGCTGAGGGGAGCAATGGGCCGGACAGGAGAGGTCTGCTGTGCCATGTGGGTCACTCCCTGGCCAGGGATCGAACTCATGTTGAAATGACTGTGGCTAGCTTTGTAATGCTGCACTTTAACCCACTGAGCCACCAGGGAGGGCCTAATACATACATACATACATATATATATATATATATATATCTTTTTGTTTTCCAAAAGATAAACTGAAAACCTGTAATGCTGCACTTTAACCCACTGAGCCACCAGGGAGGGCCTAATACATACATACATACATATATATATATATATATATATATCTTTTTGTTTTCCAAAAGATAAACTGAAAACCTTAATTGCTGATGTTCTCCATCTGGCCCCATGTTTGAACTTTCAGCTTACCTTAAAAATTGTCTCTTTATCCAAAGTTGGAATATACATAAATCAGAAGGAAATTCTAGAAAGAAAAATCACCAGCAGAAATGACCTATAAAGATTTCATATTTCATCCATTCATTCAGAAATATTTATTGAAACTCTAGTATTTGCATATCATACTGCCGAACACTGAGAGACTTGCTGAAATAAGATGAAAGATATTCTCTCTTCCTTTAAGGAATTTAGACCTTGCTTGGGGGAGAGATGGCATAGACATATGAAATAGTTAAGTTGTAATTCAAGATAACATATGATTAAATACCAAAATGTGTGGTTCCAACAAGAAATGTTACAGGAGTTCAGAAAAGGGAGCGATAATTCAGTGGCACTACTGTTTTCTGTCTACAAATTGGCAAATTGTAGCACTATTTGTATGAAATATTTTACACTTGTTTTTTTGGCAGCCTTAGGCCTTGACTCCCAGGCAGCATTAAGAGCCTAAAAAAATATTAGTGCTTCCATCTCTCTGGAACTGGCTTGGGTTTTTTCAGTTGATTTCCCCCCTTATAGGTAGCAGAAGTGCCTTATACAAACTACAGTGCCCTAAAGAGGCAGGTCACTTGGGCCAAAACCTCTTTCAAATACAAAATAAGGAACCAGTCTGGCCATTCTAAGTTTTTGATTTAGCAGAACTGGCCACTGCATTGCACACTCTCCCTACATTGAGAGGCAGTTTAATTTGAACTTAATGTCTGTGACGGGCAAGCTAGCCATCGCGGGGCAGAGAAATGTGTGACTTGGAGAACTGCTGACGGAAATCCCCATGGCCATGGTGTTGGAGAAGGAACTGCCACCGTGTAGGGGAGTTCAGACGCATGTGCTCCTGGAAGCAGGGTTCCCCAAAATGTCAGACTATGAAAATATGCTGAAAGTATAGTGCTTGAGGATGATGTTTAACGAAACTCACTGGCTTCCTGCTCTATTTTTGTCATATTCAAATGAGCACAGTGGGGGCCTCAGTTTCTTGAGAATTAAAACAAGGGGAGATGAAATAAAACCCTTGTGAAGTCAAACATTGTTGGGGCCCCTCCACCCCTCATTCTGCTGGGGAACCTCTCAGGAACTCCCCACAGGTGAATGGAATTATTATTTGCTTGCTTTTCAATCGAATTCATGACTTTTCAGTTTCTTTTAAAATTTGGTCCCTGGCTCAACACCACCCCTTCATTTTCACCTGCAGGAGGCTGAGGGGCCAGAGACGGTTCGTTCTTTCCTTGGGGTTTTTTTTACGGAATGTGTGTGAGGTCCAGCACCACTTGTCTGTTTGGTGGCCCTTCGGGTACTATACAGGTTCCCAAGTTAGTGTGACCGGGATACCCAGCAAACAAGTGCTGTCCCCGCCAGCCTCTGATGACATTTGTCAGAGGGACAGCCCCTCAGCTGGCTGCTTGGGGTAGCGGCCCTGGAACATGTTTCCCCATCTCTTTTGATATAATTTAGTATCTCTCTAAATAAATGTTTCACAGCAGATGGTTATGGAAGGAATGTCTTATCAATTCTTGAAGACTCTGCCCTTGAAATATTTTTACTCACCACACTGAAAGCATACAATAGTAGCTTTCTTTTTCTCTTTGAAGAACAAAAAAGTTACACAATAGGTTGATATCCTGAGAATTTATCACAGAAGTCAGATTTATACACTATGTAAATCTTTCCTTGGCCTGTGCTTTGCTGTTTTTTTCCTAGATGGGAGAGCTTTAATTTTAGAATCCAGGAAGGGATGTGCTTGGGATGTGTTTAGCGGTGTCGTCTTGAGAGATGGCCCAGGAGTCTAAGTTCAACATGTTATCCACACTTGTTTTCCATTCCCCGATGTGGTGGGGGCGGGGGGAGGACAAACACTCTGTTGTTTTCCTGTTGCTTTTCGTGGCTTTAGCCTCATGTTCCTATTCTTGCTCAAATCAATAATTACTCTGCAAAACCTGGCCTTTTGTGCTAAAGCTTCATTTAAGGAGGTTTGGGCTAATGCGTCTGTGAGACTCCTGCTTGTTGCCCTCTCCCTCTCTCTCTCTCTCTCTCTCTCTCTCTCTCTCTCTCTCTCTCTCTCTCTCTCTCTCTCTCTCTCTCTTTTAAATAGGTGTACTTTTAAAAAAATAATAGTTTGTTTTTACATCATTTTGTGCCTTTTTCCAGCTCAGTTGTAATCCCCTTGGGCTTCCCATCACCACATCACCTGTGTGCCATCACCATAGTTCAGTGCATTTCCCTCCTTCCCATTTTTGATCCCATTCCCCACTCCACCCCATAAAATGTCTCTGGTATATAGTTGTTCATTATTATTATCTCCCCCCCCCAGTCCTTTATGCTCCTGCTATGAGTGAAACCATCTGGTATTTTTCTTTTTCTTTCTGGCTTTAAATAGCTGTACTTTTAAAGAAAACTGTCTACATTCCAAGATCTCAGACAATTGGCTGGATAGTTCATCTGGAGCTACGAGATGCCCTCAAATTCAGCTGATTCGAAGAAGCAGAGATAAGGTAAGAAGATCTTAATTCATGTCTCGTCTCCCTTTGCACTCCTGATGCTAACTTCCGTCTGTGTACCACGTATCTCATTACCCACTGAGGAAACTTAGCTACGAGCGCCCACTCATTGGTGAACTAAATGTTGAGCGCCCATCAGTTACTATACCCCCTGCAAGGTGCTGGGCATGGAACAGCCAGACAGAGACACATGGAGGGGGGGCCTGCCCTCCTGGGGTTCGCCATCTGTAGAGCTAGAGATGACTGTGTTTAGTTGAATTGAAAGAAAAGATAGACTTTAAGTAGAAACCCGTGTTGATTAATAAAAAGAGGAAAGGAAATTCAGACCCATAGTCACAGAATGATTTAAGTGTAGAGTTTGCTTTTCGTAATGTGTCCAAGCTCCCCCTGACAACTACGTGACTTCAAGTAGTGTTTAGTCCAGCGGATCAGTGACTAGCGAAGGTGGGAACCTCGGGAAGCCACTGGCTCTCTCAGGGGCAGGACTCCCACTGGCCTCCTGTCAGTCCTATCACGAGAAGGAAGGAAGCAGTGAGCATATGCAAATACTTTCTAACTTGTGATCAGCAGCCATGCCCTCTGGGAGAAAGGAAATCCTGCCTCTTGACTCTATAAGGGGACGTTGTCTTCAAATTACGGCTCATCTGTGATGAATTATTGGGCAGCGTCCCGATCCACGCCACCAGCAGAACTGTTCGTTGAGCTTGCTCAGTTTTACTTGAATGCCACATTAACAAAGAAATGGGCCATTTTCTCTTTCCCCTTACATTTTGCCATTTCAAATAGCAAGCATCATGCGATGTAAGATGATTTAACATTTAAGAAAGGAGACCGGGAGCATTTAATGAGTGATAAATAATGAAAGGATCAAACTTCCAAGTCATAACTGATCAGAATTCACAGTTATCTGGCTGTCGTTATTTTCTAGTGTCTTGGTGGGGAGGGGTTAGGGGTGGTGAGAAATAAAAAGATTTCAAGGACTTCATCCCAACCTCCACCACCCCTGAGTAAGAGTGAAGGAATTCTGTGAGAAAGACATGTGGACACCTGAGCATAGGTGTGTCCAGATTTTTATCTCTCTCAATCTGTAAAATATCTGCTGACTTTGGTGCGAGAGAGTAGTAGAAAATGTCATGACACTTGAATGCCTTCAGGATTCTGATAAGTCGTTAAGATTATGTCAGGTTTTTTATCACTTTGAAATGAGGGTAATACTTAGGCTAAATGTAGTGGGGAAAGAAAGCAACTGTTAACTAAAAAAGTACAACACACGTAGTTTGCTTTCCTGTCTTTAAACTCATTCATATAAATGAATCAACGTTTTTGTCTAGTCTGGAACATCACCAAAAATACTCACCACTCAAACAAGCACTAGTGTTCTCTTCCCCACCCTAACTCCCCGGTGGGTTATATAATCCCACCATTCTTCCCATAAGACCTCCTCACTCTCCAGCTCACCATCACTCCAAGTAAAGGAGGGAAGAATTTAAGCTTTTCTTTGAAACCAATGTTGGTATGATTATTTTAATCATGTTGCTAAGATGCCTGACTCCATCTCTTAGTTATATTTTATCAAAATATTTCCTATATTCATGGTCACAACAACTTATCTGAAAATCTCAGATCGGTATGTAATAATTTAACCTGACCCACAGAGATGGTAGTTTATGGTTTTTCTTAGTTCTTCCTATTAGATTGGATCAAGGACTTTTGGCTAACTGCCCATCATATGCCTAGAAACATACTCAAAAAGCATGGAATATAAAGTCTCAGTTCCCAGGAAGCTTTGTCTCTGTGCACAAAACAATTAGAAGACAGTATATCCTCATCCTCATTACGGAATAGGCATTAAAAAGAAATAGAGCAATTCCAATTGTCTTGGAGGGATTTCCATGAGGCTTTGGTGAATGAAAACAGCAGGATACAGAAGAGTATATATTACATGTTCTTACAGTAATCAAAAAAACCCCTAAATATGTTTATATGTATATGTCTCTATAAGATTGAATATTACAGAAAAATGTAAGAATTCATAATAGTTTGTGAACATTTTGAAATGACTGATATTTTAGGAGAGTAGAGGTAAATAAAGAAGAAAATTGGAATCAGTAGAGGTAAATAAAGAAAACAAAGCAAAAAGGATGAATGATAAGGTCCCATTTTGCAATATGTACAATTACATTTGTATACTTATAAAAAGATTTTAACATCTAGTAAGAATGGTTTATACTAAGAAAACCAGGAAAGACATAGCAGTAGCAGTGTTTCTCAAGAACGGCATGATTCCTAAAGAGCATATGAAAGCTCTTACAAGTCAGAATAAAAGCAAGGAATTTTACCACCTCTGATAAAATCAGAGTGTTTTTAGACAACATTTTCCAGTGCGGTAATAGAATAAACAGGAATCTCACTAGTTATTGGAAAAAGTAAGAAATACCACAATTTGCTAATCTTATGAAGTTGGATATCAGCAAAATTTAAATATATTTGCTTTTAAAACTGTTAATAAAGGTGAAATGCTAGTCAATAAATATTCAAATATCGATAACTACTGCAAGTTACAAATTATTAATGTCATGAGTAAGAGGTCCCAGTCATTAAAAACAAACAGAAATAGGCATAAACTTTGAGGCTATACCTGACATTTTAGTCATTTTTACTAAAAAAATACATGTTGAAGACAGCTATGAAAAGTAGTAATCTTGGCTATGCAGTAACTTGTCTTAAGCAATTTTTTAAATAATATAATAGTTTACTTTTATATCATTTTGTGCATTTTTCCACCTCAGTTGTAATCCCCGCAGACTTCCCATCACCAAATCACCCATGTGCCATCACCATAGTCCAGTGCACTCCCCTCCCCCCATTTTTGATCCCATTCCCCACTCCACCCCACTAAATGTCTCTGGTATATAGTTGTTCATTATTGCTATTATTTTCTTGCCTGGCCCTTTATGCTCCTGGTATGAGTGAAACCATCCAGTATTTTTCCTTTTCTTTCTGGCTTATTTCACTAAGCATGATCCCTTCCAGCTGCATCCATGTTGCTGCAAAAGTCATGTGTTTAACTTTTTTGATCACTGAGTAATATTCCAGTGTGTATATGTACCACATATTTTTTTTTAAAAAAAGATTTATTTATTTGTGCATACAGAACTGGGATACAGGCCAGAGGCTAAGGGGCAGCGAGAGGCTTCACCAGAGACAGAGCGGGGAACAGAACAGGCAGATCGACGAAGTACACTGCTGAGGGGAGCAGCGGGTGGGTCAGGAGAGGTCTGCCACACCATGTGGTCACCTCTGGGGCAGGCAGGAATTGAACTCATGCAGAAGTGGCTTTAGATTCTCAGTGCTGTGCTTTAAGCCGCTGCGCCACCAGGGAGGGCCATACCACATATTTTTAATCCAGTCCTCTACTTTTGGCATTTGGGTTGATTACATGTATTTCCAGTTGGAAATAAAGCAGCAGTAAGCATGGAGGTGCAGGTGTCTTTTTGAATCCGTGTTTTTGTGTCTTTGGGGTAGAACAATTCTTTTTTATGGCAGTTTGGTAGTGAGGCACTAGGGCAATGGCCTGTTGAGGCTGTTTCTAACTCATAATAGGGAAAGCATATCAATTAAAAACAAGCATCAATAATAAAAGCCAAGGAGTTTCTTGGAAGAGATGAAAATTAACTTGAATATGTTGAGATAGCACAATGACAATTTTAATAGACTATGTCTTAAAATGAATATAAGATTAATCCTGACAATAGGAACTGATCAAGGATATCCAATACGTACTTTGAAAAAAATTAGCACTCCTATTTTCTTCATGCTATAAGTATACAGAAAGATGAAGAATTTAAAATAGATGGTGAAAATAGGATCTTAAGCGTTCTGATATGTTTGTTATGATGTTTGAGTAGTGAAAATAAATTTAAGACCTGTATATAGGGTCATACATGATTTGCTCATGTGCTAAGATGTGTGGGTGAAAGAAAGTAACATGAGTGAGAGCTCATCCACTTACTGAAATAAGTTAGCAAGTGGACTGGGCTTTGTTTCTGTGCCCAAGACCCAGGAGGTGGCCGGACTTCAGTCTAGTTGAAGTTGAGGCTGCAAGTATTGTCGTCTTCTCCAAGAAACAGAACCTTTCGAAAATGGAAAGATGGGGTGTCCCACTAGAGTGGATTTAACAAGCTTGCTAGAGAATGAGAAATAGGAGTTTTAGCTGGCCAGGAAGGAAGTCTAGGTGGAGGTCAGAGTACAGTAGAAGACAGAATGTCCTAGGTGGTCTGGGACAATAACAGCATTATTGATGCCTCCACTCCCCTGCTCCCAGCCTCCTTCTATTCAGCCCACTGCCCACCCAGATCCCACTGATGGGCACGGCCATATTAATTGTTCTAATTTTCCTTTTCAACAAGGGACCTGACTGCCTCATTCCTTTAACTAATTCATTGGCAGAGAGTTTCTTTAGGAAAAACGGAAAGGTTTTCTTTTTATGTCCTCTGTGTATACATGCACACACCCACACAGAACAGTCCTTTCACCTGGTCATATGTTTAATAACAAACAAAAAGCACATTGATTTTAGAAGCAGATTTTACAAGCCACTCTTTCATTCTAATAACATTTGTAAAGAGAAATTAAGTCACAGCAAATATATCTTCCTGGGAAATTAAGGTATACCCCCTTAAATAAGCCCTGGATCAAAGAGAAACAAATGCCCCCCCCCCCAAAAAAGAAATTGGGTTTGGATAGCAATACTTACTATCATAAGGATAAATTCTTAAATTAATGTACTTATCTAGTATCAGCCCTGTCATATGCACAATCTTCTCGCCCCCTTGGGATAAAAAGATCTTAAAGTTCATATGAAAGAGTGGTGTCTAGAAAATATTACAAAAATAATAAATAAGAAATTTGCCTTTTCAGATATTAAATGTATTTAAAGTCACACTAGTAAAAACTTGATGACATTGGAATAGAAGTAAATCAATAGATAATTGAAACAAAGCAGAATTCAGAAATAGTGTCAAGATCTGTGTTAAACCAGTGTATGTCAAAAGTGGTATTTCAGTTCATTGGGAAAGGGAGTGTTTATTTTTAGTAAATGGTTATGACATAACTGATTAATTATCTGGATAAAAATAGAGTTGGACCCTTATCTCACCCTCTGTAAAATTAAATTCCAGATGAATTAAAGATAGAAATTTTGAAAAATCAAACCAGGGTGGTGGACAATTTTATATGTGTCTATAAGCTACAGTTTATAACCATGACAAGAGACCCTCTATTTGATTAAAAAAATAAAATAAAGAAAACACATCATGTGGAATAAAAGATACCATACACAAAAGTTGCCAGACAAACAGTAGATTAGGAGAAAATATGTGTCAGAAATATAACAGATAAGGATTAATATCTGCACTGCACAGAGAGCTCTTAAGAATTGATAAGAGAAATACAAAGCAGAAAAATCGTCTGAGAATATGAATACATGATTCATGAAAGAACACATCAAGTAGCCAATAGAACGTCTCTTTCTTGACATCAGCACTCTGAGAAATTCTCTTTCCATGGCCGGTCAAAGGGTGAGTTAATACTCGAGGAATGGCTTGGAATGATGCAGGCACAGTAACTTGGTTCCTGAATCTTCTTCCCCATGCAGACTTTGGTGAGCGTGGTGGGGAGCTTCTCTTCACGCCGCTCGGAGTGTGTGCTGATTAACAACGACACGGGTAGGGACCTCTGCAGTAGGAGAGAGATTTCAAATGGGACCTGCACCTGCAGCATCCCGACCAGCGCAATCCAGAGAGGTAAGTGGGCTCATCTCTGTGTTCTTGTGCAAAAGGAAGGAGGACAAGAGAACCTCGTATTCACATTACCCAGGATGCCCAGAATCTGAGCAGCCCTGCCCTATACACTCACTGTCTCCCTGCCCTCTGCTTCCCACTCTTCTTGGTCCTGCTTAACCTCTGCTGCCTCTCATCCCGCGCAGAACCTCCCTGTCACATGGGACTAGACAGAGAGGGGGGCAGGGTAAGTTGAAAAGGACAAGGAAACCCAAATGTTTCAGATAACAAAAGATCTGGAAGGCTTTTGGTGAGACAAGAAACTAGAACAGCTAGCCAGCTTTCTGTCTTTGCAAGTCCATGGGCTCATTCCCATAGGAAATATTTATTGAACATCTATTATGTGCCAGCATTGTGCTGAGCACTGGGGATCCAATGGGCTCCTTAAAAAAAAAAAAAAAATAGACCTGGTGGCATTTATGAGCCTTTTGGGCGGACCCATAAAGAACTCATTGCAATGTGGGGGACATGGCGTGCACCAGGCAGCTCATGAATGGGGCATCTCATGGTCTTGGGGAGGTGATGGGGGGACAAAGAATGCTTCCTAGGGGAGGAGAAGGGTTCAGCCAAAGAAGAGGAGGAGCATTCCATGTAGAGACCAACAAGTGTGACCACCAGAAGGCAAGAAAGAACTTTGAAGAGTCCAGAGGTGTTAAGTGGTTAAGGTGAGTGGAGCTGGTACAGTGGAGAGCAGCAATATCAGATGGAGACCGAGGGAGCTGCGCAGTAGCCACTGAGAGTCAGTGCGTATTTGCTGAATGGTCACATGGAGAATGGACTGGAGGGGGAAAAGATGGCTCTGGACTCTCAGAGAGGAGAGCTGGGGCAGCGGTAGGTGGAATAGGGAGACGTGGATGGATTCCAGCGGGGTTGGAAGTTCCACAGCACACACCGAGGACTCACGGAACCTTTGGGGGGAGAAAGACAAGAATCAGAATGAATGTTGCAGGCCGCCTAGAGGGCGTGAGGATCATCAGGGAACTGAGTTTTGTGGCAAGAGCTGGTTTTACTCCGTCAATCCTTGGTCTCTCCTAAGAGAATATAATGCATCGCAGGCCAGGCCCTGAGCTTAAAAAATGCCTCTACGCCACTGGGCTCATGTGACAGTTTGAGTCTGAATTGCTTGGGAAATTATTTCCATTTTCCACTTTACTTTGTGCACATGAGGCAGCCTTGGTGAGATGCCCCTAGTTAATGTTGGTCATTTGCATGCAGATCTTGCTCACCTATAAAACATGCTTCTGAAGTATTTGAGATCGCCTTGTAAAAGCTAGTTGTCTCATTTCAGAGCTTCCGTCAATTGCACCCAAACCTTTGCCTGCCCTGTTCTGAATGTCTCACACCCTCAGAGCAGACACACGCTCTTTGCAACCTCTTGCATCCAGCCAGCCACTGCCATTGCCAAACCTCTGCCTGTGACCTAAGTAACATTTCCTTCACCAGATCCTGTTGCCCCTTCTCTGCCCTCACCATCCTGTTCATTCAGCACCCTGTCACCCCCACAGGCACCCCAGTCTGGAGACCCAGGTACTGCCTGGAACTCAAAGCACTCATTTGCTCCCTTGTCTGGGCTCTCACTTTCTCACCCAAATTATTTTCTCTCTCTCAGAGTAACTGTAAATCCAGAGCAGAGGCCACATTGAGTCACTTCTTGTGATTCAAGTCGTTCCCATTTGTGTCTCGTGCAGGGTTGATCCTGAGGAAAGTGCCACTTCTGCTGGTTTTCACCACTGGACATTAGTAGATTCCATTGATGTGTATGTTTCACGGAGAGTCGCTTCCTCTTCCTCCGTTCATTCTACAGCTTTGTGTCGAGAGTCTGTTCAAATGCTCCGACTGCGACATCAGGCCAGGCTCCTTGTCTTTGGGACAGAGAGTTTGACTTCACACATCGCCACTGTACCAGAGCAAGATTTTTATGTCACCTCTTAACTTTCGGAATGAATTTTATTGCCGTAAAGAGGCACCTTACAGCAACGCTTATCAGAATTTTAGAATCACACACTAGTAAACATTTAGTAAAAAAAAATGAGGGCCAGTAACAATTAGGCCAACTCGTGGCTATGTCAAGACTTTCATATCTACTACATCCATTAATTCTTTTTTAAAGATTTATTTATTTGCTCATACAGAACTGGAGTACAGGCCAGAGGGTAGGGGAGGTGAGAGGCTTCACCAGAGACAGAGTGGGAAGCAGAACAGGCAGATTGACGAAGTACACTGCTGAGGGGAGCAGCGGGCGGGACAGGAGAGGTCTGCCGCACCATGTGGGTCACATCTGGGATGGGGATTGAAGTCGCATGAAGCGGCTGCGGCTTGCTTGCAGGCTGCACTTTAACCCGCTGTACCACCAGGGAGGGCCTGCCCATTCATTCTTAACAGGAAGAAGACCCTAACACCAAAATGGGTGGCAGTGTAGCATCAATCCCTGGTCACAGGAGGGATACAAGGGCCCATAAACACCGCCCTTCTGTAGGGAGCACAGCAAAGCAGTGTCCCAGACCTGCTCCCTGCCTGCCAGGTCCCATCTGAAATCTTCACTAGTTTTGCAAGTGATTCTGGGTTTGGGAATCACCTTGCTAAGAGTATATACTAAAGAGACAAGACAAGTGCTACATTTCTCTTTTGCTTGTTGTAGCACAATTTGTATCTTTCTCATTTTATTCTTTTGGGGTTTTCTAACCAAGGGGGAGGTTTTCAAAAAACCAATGAGGAAAACTTCATCACTAATCTGACCACTGTGGCTTTGCAGGAAGACCACGGGAGTCCCTACCTGGCAGTACACTTTAGAATTAAGGAAATATGTGTGGTACAGATTTGTGTGTGTGTGTGTGTGTTTCTGACGGTGCAGGATTTCCTTTTGAACATTCTGGTTATGTTCTAGGCACGTCTTGCCCAGTGACTTATTTTATTCATATGCTGTGGCCAATTACAAGCTGAGATAGTGATCCCGGCGAGAGTAGAAGATGTAAATGGGCTGTAAAGTGGCTTTTTCCTAGCGATTATCCACGGGAAACTTGGAACTCGAGGTGGGCCTGGTCTGTTTGGAGGTTGTGCTGTGCACTTTGGCTGCCTGATGCAAATGGCCCACGGGAAGGAGTCACATACTGACTGGACTGTTAGTGAACAGCTGGCACACCCCCACACTCTATGCAGAAGAGGCAAAAATATTGATTTTTTTGCATTTATAGCTTTGCTTGACTGTGGTGGAACTCCACCATAAATGACTTTTTCCCCCTTCTCTGCTCCAGATGTTTTAGTTGTCAACGCGAACTTCTCCTTCGATACTTGGCATTTATCAAAAACATTCAACTTTACCAGCTGCTCATCATTAAGAGAGTAAGATTTTTATTTGAAATTTAAATGTTCTCTCATACGTTTTATTTATTTCTTATGTCCCCCAATTTTCTGAAGAACTCTTTGGTGAAGGAGAACTTTCCAAAGCATCTTTTGCAGCGTGGCTTAAGGGGAGATCAGAGGGCCACTGAGCTAAAAGCTCAGCTCACTCACTCAAGCCCTAATTAGTAAGGGGAAGCAGCTAAGGCACAGACCTGGGGTGTTTTAGGGTTCCCAACAATGGGAACATCCATTCCCCAAGACCAGAGGCTACTCGTGTCTCCCCTGAGGAGAATGACTTTAGGAATTTGGCTCTCAAAGGGTATGTTTGTGAGATACTGGCAACTCCATCACCAAGGAGAAGGCTGGGATGAAGCTGCATGAAAAGACACTCAAATTCTGCCCCTTTGTGCCACTTTTGGCCTGTTTGAACACTCCATTCCCCTGAGTTAAGGCCACACCTCACTCTTTGCGTCTAAAGAAGGAACAGGAAATAGTTGCCCACTTGACTGCTTTTCCAACTGGAAGAAGGAATAGAGTTTCCAGGAAACCGTGGGATGCTGGATTAGTGAGTCTTTATTCTTTCAATGGTGAGTTTGATGGGGGGACAGCAAATGGGTTTCTTTGGGCCCCAACTGTGGGTTCTACTGGGGAAAATAAATTCACACTCACAGCTGAGGTGAGGGACCCCTCTACAATGGTTGGAACTAGTAGCCCTGAACCCCAGCTTTTTTGGTTGGAACTGGTAGCCCTGAACCCCAGCTTTTTTGGTTGGAACTGGTAGCCCTGAACCCCAGCTTTTTTGCTGCAGCACTTAGGAAGAGAGGGTCTTCAGGCATTTCTGATAAACACCATGAAATCAGGACAGGAAAAAAAAAAACATGTTACAGAGAAAGACACAGAAATTCATAAAAATAGGAAAAAGGAAGAGAATTGTGTAGAATTATGTAGCTCAACGAGGTTCAGACGTACAGCAGCGTCCCAGCCCCCATTGTGAAAGGCCAAGGAGAGGAAGTGACTTGCCCCAGGCCCGCAACTAGGAAATTAAGAGCCAGACCTGAGACCCGCAGCTCCCAGAGGGTGAGTGCCCTTTCCAGAGGGTGAGTGCCCTTTCCAGAGGGTTAGTGCCCTTTCCGTGGGTCCTGCTTCCTTAGCAAAGCACTTAGTATAGTAATCACACCTGGGGGCTATTGATGGCCATGCAAATCTCAGAGCTGAGTCTAGCACCAGGAAGGGGCCAGAGAAATATTTCACTTCCTCTCTGGGAAAGTGCAGTTCCCTTGGGTCAGAATACCGGCACGTGTACAGCATTTCTCGAGAACCTTGTAAATTATGAACGGTGCCCCTTCCCCTGCGTGAGTTAGTTCCTCTCTTGCTGTTTGTTGCAGGATGGGGGCTCCCGGACACACCCTCAACCGTTTTTTTCCACTTCCTACTTTTAGCATCTCTTCTTTAATTCCTAATAAGTGCTTTTCAAGTTCTCCACTGTTATCCATGCGTGAAAACAGGTGCACAGACAGCATTTGATTAGTAGACACAGTTCATCCTTTATTGGGTTAAAAAACAAACACCAGCACCCACTTCCCTCCTCTTGCCAGGTAACACTGTCGGTCTGGAATCTTCCAGGTAGTTACTGCTCCAGTGATTCGGGAGTCAGTCTCCAGAGGGAAACTTCCTGAACATAGAGGAATAGCAGAACTGAGTTCCTTTTATTTATCAAGGCAGCAGGTGACCCCAGCTCAGGTTTCCCTGGCAGCTCCCTGCAGGTGTGTCTGTGGTCCTAGGGCCCCAGGTCTGCCTAGGGCAAGGCACACACCCCTGCACCCCCAAAACTGCCTTTCATCATCTTATTCATCACAGTCTGTCCAGGGGGTGTTTTCTTCTTTTAAATGCTTGCACACCTCATCCCAGAGGGAAGTTCAAGGCTATGAGCATTTTCCTAAAAATGTAGGAATTAAGTCGATTTTCCATGTTGCCAGATGCCCAGTCTGTATTGGAACTGGCTGTGCTTGGTGTAAAATTGCCAGGAAGTGTATCCACCCCTTCACACATTGTGACCCTTCCGATTACAAGAACCACCAGGTAAAGTGACATTTTTGGTGTTACAAGGTTTAACCAAAATAAATGTTTGTGACCGCCCAGTCCCAGCCTGTCTTTCGTGTTTAGTTCAGATTCTGAATGTCGCATCATTTGGTTGTTGAAGGGATGCTCTTCGTTGCAGGAGTACTGTCAAGTTGCTGGTGAGAAAAGGGTGTCATCTAAGACGGCAGGAGGAGGAGGAGGAGTCAAGGAAAATAAGAGTAACGGAACAAGCCAGGGCGCGCAGGTCAGTCCCTTTTATTTATTTATTTTTATTGAGAACCCCCCTTTTTTTTCAGCTTTTTAAATGTATGCATACAGAACTGGGGTACAGGCCAGAGTTCAGGGACGGTGAGAGGATTCACCAGAGACAGAGTGGGAGCAGAACAGGCAGATCGAGGAAGTACACTGCTGGGGGGAGCAGCGGGCAAGCCAAGAGAGGCCTCCGGGGCAGGGCATTGAATTGGCACTGAAGTGGCTGCGGCCAGCTTGCAGGGCTGCACCCTAACCCATTGTGCCACCCAGAAGCGCCTGAAGAGCCCTTTTGAAATGACAATAACAACCCCTACTTTGGATTTCTTTTAAAAAATTCCTGTTTTATTTTCTACAAAATTTCCCTTTTATACCTCTGGTTTTTGTAACCAAGTCTCATTTAATTGGCTCAATATATCAAAGGCTGCACACTCACATAAAAGAAATTAAAGTTCTGTAATTATGAAAAATGATCTGTGCCAGTAGGAGTGAAATGACAAAGGTGACTTTGTACCTTGGGAGGGTTGCAAGGAAGTCAAGACACAGCCTGGGGAGGCTGCAATTTGGAGGACACACTGGAATGGCACTTCAGGGGCGTGGGCTGGGAGCAGCCTTTGCCTCATGGACACACTCACCTCACGCAGACTGGTTTTTTCACTGGGGATGGCCCAGGCATCCATTCATGGAGCTGAAGAAACAGTCGCTTCTACGTATAACACGTGCACCTCTCACCACTCACAAAAAATGATTATTTTCTATGAAATTTCCTTGAAAAGTCCTCTGATTGTCTTCATAATCACAAGCTCAACAAGCATACATGTTTGAAAAGAGAAGATGGGAAATGTATACATTTATGGGCAGAGCTAGAAGCTAAGGGAACGCCTAAATGCTGACTTTGTTCAGTCACAGAGGTGAATTGAGCAGCGATGTGGTGAAAATAAGGCCAAGTTCTCGCTTTCATCAACTCTGGGGTGTAGTGGGAACAGACCCATTCAAAGCAACATGTTTGGTGAACTTTTTTTTTTTTTTTCCCAGACTTTTCTTTCTATTTCATGACTAGTCTGTGGCTTTGGTTACCCCTTGGCTGCTATTTAAGGTCAAATGCCAATATAAATAAGTAGCACCTTTTTAATCACTGCTGAAAAGTTGATGGTAACTTTAGGTGAATTAAGTAACAGGCGGAAGGAATGTGAATCAAAATGGATTATGAAGTTAATTAAAGGCATTAGGAAAGCTCCATGTGCCAATATCTGCAGACTTTAATGTCTGAGGTTTTATTAAGTGATGGGCTACTTTTCTCTTTTTCATTGGCTTAGAAAACTAGGCATGCCCACAGGAACTTGCCTCAGGGAGGCAGGGGCTTTTTTTAAAAAGGTGACCTCATTTTTTTGTTGTTTCCACTTTTGTAACTTTTGGTAAAATACATGTAACATCAAAATCGTCCTCTTTACCATTTTAAGTCAACATTTCAGTTGTGCTTTAAGTAATTCATGTTGTTCCGCAATCATCACGGCCAGCTATCCCCTGAACACTTCTCACCCGGAGAACCAAAACTCTGGACCCTTGAGACAGTGTCTCCCCATGCCGTCTGCTCTTCTCCCACAGCCTCTTCTCTGTGTGTCTCTAGAAATTTGACTGTTGCTTATACATAGAAGCATGCAGAACTTGTTTTTGTGTGACTTGCTTATTTCACTTAACCTATGCCATCGGGGTTCACCCATGAAGTTGGCTCAGAATTTCCTTTTTAAGGCTGAATAATATTCTGCTGTATGTATGTGCTACCTTTTGCTCATTGGTTGATAAACAGTCATTAGTCTCTGGGTTACTTCTACTTCTTAGCGATGGTAAATATAAATGTGGGCATTGAAATAGCCCTTTGAGGCCCTATTTTCAATTCTTTGGGGTGTGTATCCAGAAGTAAAATTGCTACATCTTTTGGTAATACTATTTTCAATTTCAGTGGCAACTCTGTGTTGTTTCCTATAGTGCTCTGCTATTTTATATTCCCACCAACAGAGTATATGTGTTCCAACTTCTCCATATCCTTGCCAGCACTTATTTTGTGTGTGTTTTATAGTAGCTTTCTAAATGGACATAGAACAGTGCTTCATTGCAGTTTCAATTTGCTTTTCCTTAATGACTAGTGCTGTTGATCATCTTTTCATGTACTTGTTTGCCATTTGTGTATCTTCAGAGAAATGTCTATTCCAGTCTTTTGCCTTTTTTTTTTAAATCAGATTGTTTTGTTTCAGTGTGGTTATTAAGTTGTAGTTCTTAGCACCTATAAGATTAATAAATATTTCCTTCCATTCCATAGTTTCCCTTCTTACTCTGTTGATTGTATCCTTGGTTGAACAAAAGCTTTTAATTTTGATGAAATCCAACTTAATCTCTGTCTTAAATCTGTCTTTTATGCCCCTTCTTTGAATGTCACATCCAATAAATTAGTGCCAAATCCAGTGTCATGTATTTTTTCTCTTTCTCTTTCATTTTGTATATGATTTACAGTAAGGGTTCTACTTCATTGTTTTGCATATGACTGTCTTGTTTCCCACCACCAGTCATTGAAAAGACTGTGTTTTCCTCATGGAAGGTCTTGGCAGCACGCAAGGGTTTCTTTTGGGCTCTCCTTTCCCACCGGTCTATAGATCTGTCTTTATGTCCATGATACACTATTTTGATTACTATAGCTTTGTAATAAGTTTTTAAATCAGTAAGCAGTCTTTCTACTCTGTTCTTTTTCAAGTTTATTTGGCGGGGGTGGGAAGTAAGCTCTTATTTTGAGATAATTAATAGATTCACATGTCATTGAAAGAAAATACCGGAATATTTCCCATACCTTGTACCCAGTTTCCTCCAGGACTCACATCAGCAAAGTGACTGCACAGTGTCACAGCCACGATATTGACGGTGACAACAGTCAGGAGACACAATGGCGCTATCAAGTTGTTCCCCAAGTTGCTGTTTAGAACCACACCCACTTCCTTCCTCCCTCCACTCCCCACTCTGACTCTGGCAACCCCTCATCTGTCCCCAGTTTTTATAATTTTATCACTTCAAGAATTTTCAATAAACCAAATTATCCTTTTTTGGTTGATCTTTTTAACTCAACATAATTCTTGGAATTCCACCCAAGTTATTTTATGTATCACTAGTTGGTTCTCTTTTATTGCAGAGTAGTGGTCCAGGCAATAACTTTTAACATTCTTTTTAATTTTTAAAGAAAAAAAAATCTCTGCAGTCTGTTTCCTGTGTTATCTAATGACCTTTGACACTGCAGCTACAAGAACAGGGGGTCACCAGGAGATCAGGAGGAGGCTGAAAATAAAAGCCCAGAGCTGTCCCCAGTGCTTCTCTGTGAATGACCTTCTTAGTTTAGAGGAAAGACTTTGTTGGTAATGAAATGTTTTCTTTAAATATAGACTCAGAACAGAATCTTGAGTCTGATTAAGAGGGACTAGAGCCTCATCTGTCATGGAAGGGATTTCTCATGCTCTGTGAACACTGCTGCCTTTCCTTTTTCTGTGTAAATTCAGGCTTCCAGTTTGGGCCCTTGAGTAGCCTTGAATGAAGCTCTGAACACTCTCTTCTTAGCAGAGAAGCCATCGGGAACTTCTCTGCAAGGGATCTTCTCACATGACACATGCACTGATTGCTTCCTGTGTGCTAGGATGAGGACATGGGTGAATGGTGGAGACATGACCTTAGGCTCCATGGCACTGAGCTTGGGTTTATTCTTCCTACAGCATTTGCCAGACGCCTAGTAGATGCCATTATACTGAGCTCATAGGTGCCAAGAGGAGAACATAAATGAGCCAGGCACATCTGCCATCCATCTAAAGAATCTTCTACATTACATATAAGTAATAACACAAGATTTAATTTTTTAAAAGATTTATTAAAAGACCTCTGGGGTGGGCCTACCCTGGTGGCGCAGCGGGTTAAAGCACTGCACTGAGAAGAGCTGAAACCACTTCCACATGAGTTCGATTCCTGCCTGCCCCGGAGGTGACCACATGGCGTGGCAGACCTCTCCTGGCCCGCCTGCTGCTCCCCTCAGCAGTGTACTTCATCGATCTGCCTGTTCTGCTCCCAGCTCTGACTCTGGTGGAGTCTTTTGCCACCCCTGAGTCTCTGGCCTGTACCCCAGTTCTGTATGCACAAATAAATAAATCTTTAAAAAAAAAAAAGACCTCTGGGGTGTAGGCCAGAGGTGTGGATGAGAAAATTCACCAGAGACAGAGTGAGATGCAGAGCAGATAGACGTACTGAAATACACTATTGAGGGGAGCAGCGGGTGGGACAGGAGAGAGGTCTGCTGCACCGTGTGAGTCACCTCCTTGGCTGGGGATCGAACTCATGCTGTAGTGGCTGTGGATAGCTTGATAGTGCTGACTGCACCAGCAGGGAGGCCCAATACAAGAACTTAAAAATGCTAACATAGGAAAGTACTAGAAAGTATCACAAACTTCGAGAACCTCTTTGTGCCTGAAACCTCATCTTAAGTCATTGCTGCCTGGCAGTTAAACACACTTACTCATTGTGGCTGGTTACATGTTTTGGGTTAATGTATGATCCAGCCAGCCTTTGAAGGATGAGCATGCAGACATGAGAAGGTGGTCACCCAAGCAGAGGTTGGCATAAGCGAAACCTGGTGGGCTTTGGAAATTCCAGGCACCCACTTCAATAGACGCCAAGAAATTCAATTTGGCTAGAACAGAAAGATGTGGAAAATCTTGGAACATGAGTTTAAAATGACCTTGGAGCTGCATGTGTAGGGCCTAACACCAAGGCTAGGAATTTTGACTTTGTTCTTCAGTGGCAATATAATGCTCTTCAAGGCTTTTGAAAAAAAAAGTATTAATTTGCTCAGTACATGGTACCTACAATAGGCTTCTAGCTCACTCCCATAAGGTCCCATGGGACCTTATGCCCCATCCTTAACCCTGACCCCAAAACATACGCTTTTGTTTACTGAGGGGGACTGCACTAAGG